ACACACACAAACACACACACTCACACACTCACACACAAACATACACACACATGCACACACACAATTACTCCCTCTCTTCTTTTCTTTATCTGTTTCTTTCTCTCTGCCGCCCCTCCCCCCTCCTTCCTTTGTTTTCTATAAACAAACACAGAACACATACCTGAACCGGTTGAGCAGCCTCCCCATGGGCGTGGTGTCGAAGAAGCTCATGGGGGCGTGCATCACACTGTCTAAGAGTTCAAAGTGCAACTTGCGGGAGGCGTGGACATGGCGGATTTGTAGCACCACAGAGTAGGCAATGACGAAAAACGCTGACAACAGAAAGGGAAGATAAAATAAGAAGATAAAGTAAGCTAAGGTAAGACACGATTAGATAAGATAAGATAGAATAAGATAAGGTACGGCACGGTGAGATAAGATAAATAAACTACGAAACGTGCTGATCATGCGCTGGGAAAAAATATATTACGCACACATCAATGATTCATATTGCTCATCTTTCACCCTGTTTTCTGACTTTATGTTTCACTGTCTAATGGCAACAGTCCAGTAACTGTATGGGTTTTATAGATAAAATGTCTCCTTATAGCTATCTCAAATAAGCATTCAAACAATAGAGATAAATCATTTGAAGGACTGACGTTTAACGCTTTGTAAATTAACCGACAAACTGTTGTCGATTAGTTAAGCAGGCAGCCCATCCAACCATTCCTTCCCATCGCCCCACCACCCCACTCCCTTCCCCGACTGGAGTTTCAGAGCTCTAAAAAAATAACCACACAAACAAACAAACAAACACATAAAAAAGCAACCCTCCCTCTTTTCCCCCTAGAACCCAAGCCGTTAACACTGATAATATTATAATAGTATGAGGCACAACATCAGCCCTACTTTGTATGAATCCAAGAGCCGTGAAGACCCCGAGGTAGTTGATGTTTTTGTCCTCTCTCACTGTGCCGTTTGCGGGCAGCTCTGTGAAGTTCCCCAGGTGGGAATCGTCCGTCCAGTTTGTGAGCCAAATGTTGGCGTAGTTGTTGGCCACATGGTAACACACGATCATAAACAGGATGGCTACAGAGTGAGGGATACCGAAGCCTTTCAGGAGCTGCCCGTAAACGGACCATTTCACCTGAAGCAGAAGAGAAGAGTGACAGTAAACATCTTGTAAAGTAAGTGTGAAACACAGTGGGACCTACTGGTTGCGCCATGCATTATATTGATATTTGTGAGGCAGCGTGGTGGAATCAGGCTCTCGTCAAAATAATCAAAGAGAAGAAACTTGCATTTTTCTGAAGGTTTGTGAATTTTTATCAAATATTTGTTTTTTGGCTCAACACCTTTCATGCCCATTAAAGAACTCATTTCTGTGTAGATTTTTTCTGAAAAACGTTGATTAAAGGCACATAAAATGTAAATGTTCAGTTACCACGGACTCTTAAGCTAAGGATATAACTAATCTTTGGCGCCATTTTTTCACCAACTTTACCTCTGAAAACAGGCGACCCCCACCTCCTTCATTCGCAAATAACTCGACTTGTATTCAAGATAAATTTATATTGTTTAAATCCAAATAAAGGCAAGTGAATAAGCTTTAAGATGATACCAATAACTCTACATGCCCAAAAATTGACGAGAGCCTGATTCCACCACGCTGCCTCACATTTATATATCAAATTACAATACATGTATATTATAGCACAAACACACACACACACACACACACACACACACACACACACGCACACACGCACACACACACACATACACACACATAATAT